GTTAGAGTTAGTTCATACTGATGTATGGGGACCATCTCCAGTTCCATCTCTTGCAGGCTCATTATATTATGTCACCTTTATCGATGATTCTACAAGGAAGGTGTGGGTTTATTTTCTGAAGAAAAAATCAGAAGTCTTTGATACCTTCAGAAAATGGAAGGCCATGGTGGAAAATGAGAATGGTATGAAAGTCAAGCGGTTAAGGTCTGACAATGGGGGAGAGTACAAAAATAGTAGATTCAGAGATTTTTGCGCAAACAATGGGATCAAGATGGAGACAACAGTTCCCATGACACCGCAGCAGAATGGCGTAGCAGAGCGCATGAACAGAACTCTGAATGAACGTGCCAGAAGCATGAGGATACATGCCAGATTGCCCAAATTTCTATGGGCTGAAGCTATTAACACTGCAGCTTACCTGATCAACCGTGGCCCCCAGTTCCTTTGGATGGCAAATACCAGAGGAAGTTTGGAGCAAGAAAGAAATAAACCTTTCACACTTAAGAGTGTTTGGTTGTATTTCTTATGTACACAGACTCTGCTGAAAGAAGTAAACTTGATGCTAAGTCCAACAAATGTGCCTTTGTTGGTTACGGCAGTGATGAGTTCGGTTACCGGTTTTGGGACTATGAAAATCGGAAGATCATTAGAAGCAGAGATGTCATTTTCAATGAGAATGTGATGTACAAAGACATATCAACTGTAGAATCAAGCAGCTCCAATACCAAAGCTAAACAAAGGAATTTGCTGAGTTTGAGGAGATTTCTGGAAATGATGTTCAGATCAATCCTGAAGCAGTTCAAGAAGAACCAGGCACACCGGAACTTAGACGCTCCTCCAGAATTCCTAAACCAACCCAACGGTATTCTCCTTCTTTGCACTACTTGTTGCTGACTGACAATGGTGAACCAGAGTGCTATGATGAAGCAATGCAAGTGTAGGATTCAGTCAAGTGGGAGTCTTCCATGAAAGATGAGATGGACTCGCTTTTGTCAAATCAGACGTGGGAATTAGCTGAATTACCACCAGGCAAGAAAGCGCTTCACAACAAGTGGATTTACAGGATCAAAGAAGAGCACGATGGGAGCAAACGCTACAAAGCGAGATTGGTTGTCAAAGGTTTTCAGCAAAAAGAAGGTATTGACTACAATGAAATTTTCTCTCCAGTCGTGAAACTGTCTACAATCAGACTGGTGTTGAAAATTGTAGCTGCAGAGAATTTACATCTTGAGCAGTTAGATGTAAAGACAGCTTTCCTTCATGGTGATTTGGAGGAAGAAATCTATATGAGGCAGCCAGAAGGCTTCATAGAGGCAGACAAGAAAAACCTGGTATGCAGGTTGAAGAAGAGCTTGTATGGTTTAAAACAAGCTCCTAGACAGTGAATACAAGAAGTTCGATAGTTTCATGAGTAGCAGTGGTTTTACCAGATGCCAAGCAGATATTGTTGCTACATCAAGAGGTTCGACAATAGCTTCATTATTTTATTGTTGTACGTTGATGACATGCTCGTTGCAGGCTCAGACATGCAAGAGATTATAAACTTGAAGCAAAAATTGTCAAAGCAGTTTGCTATGAAGGATATGGGCGCTGCAAAGCAGATTCTTGGGATGAGGATCAAGAGAGACACAAAGTCAGTGACTTTGATATTATCACAGGCTGAGTACATCAACAAAGTACTCTCCAGGTTCAACATGCAAGATGCTAAACCAGTAAGTACAAACTTTAGGTGTTCATTTCAGACTCTCCAAAGAACAGTCACCAAAGACGGAGGAAGAACGTGCACACATGGTGAAGGTGTCGTACGCCTCAGCGATTGGAAGTCTGATGTATGCCATGGTTTGTACCAGACCAGATATTGCTCAAGCAGTGGGAGCTGTTAGCAGGTACATGAATAATCCGGGCAAGGTACACTGGGAAGCAGTCAAATGGATCCTCAGATATCTACGGGGTACCACAAACAAAGCACTTTGTTTCAAAGGTGGAGATACGATACTGACAGGCTATGTAGATGCTGACTTAGTCGAAACTATTGACATCAGAAGGAGCACTACAGGGTATGTCTATACTCTAGGAGGAACCGCAGTGAGTTGGGTTTCTCAACTACAGAAGATAGTTGCTCTCTCCACAACTGAAGCAGAATATGTCGCTGTTACGGAAGCTAGCAAGGAGATGGTTTGGCTCCAAAGTTTCTTGGAAGAGTTAGGCAAGAAACAAGAAAACAATGTCTTGTATTGCGATAGTCAAAGTTCTATACATCTAGCAAAGAATCCATCTTTTCATTCCAGGACAAAGCACATACAATTGCGATATCATTTTATCCGGTCTCTTCTGGAAGATGAGATTTTGAAACTTGAAAAGATCAGTGGAGCTCAAAATCCGGCAGATATGTTGACAAAGACGGTGACTACAGACAAACTGAAGTTGTGTTCAACTTCAGTTGGCATGCTAGAGTAACAAGACTAGAAAAGCTGTTGCATTGATCGAGATGTGAAGACAGATTAAAGTCAGTCTTCAAGTGGGAGATTGTTGAAAGTATTAAAATGGTTTTTCAAGTTTGGTAACCAACTTTGAAAAAATGGTTTTCAAAGTTTGGTAAATGTTTCTTTGAAAATGGTTTTCAAAGTTTGGTAAATGTTTCTTTGAAAATGGTTTTCAAAGTTTGGTAAATGTTTCTTTGAAAAATAGTTTTTCAAAGTTTGGTAGATGTTTGTTGAAAAATGATAATGGGATAATCACAATTAATCCCTAGGTTTTAGGGTATTTATAAGATTAAGTCCTTAAGTTTCAACTATAAATACCCTAGCTCATTTAGCTTCAAAATTATTCCAAAAATCATTTCTTTATCCCAATACTAGAGCTTTCTTGTGAGTAGTGAGCGTTTTGTAAACACCTGTAAATTTTCTCTCTTAGTAAAAGATCTGTAGCAGTCCGGAGACGTAAGCACAATTGACTGAACTCCGTTATCAATTTCGGGTATTATTTTTCCGCTTTTATTTCGTATTCTCACTAATCTGATAATAGGGAAATTACTTGTACTTGGTTTATTTCCCAACACAAAGCCCCTCTAAAACTTATTCCCAAATCTGCTTAAATGCACACTCTCAATAAATAAGTGATCCATTGTTTCCTGCTCAACCAAACAAAGATTACAAGTCCATCAATATTCAAGTCGTACAAAATCAACTTATTTTTGGTAGGAAGTCTGTCCAACACTGTCATCCACACAATGACTGAATTCTTCGAGATATGTATGACCTCAATGCCAAATCAGTTTCTCCTATGTCACCTTCTCTTCTCATACAATGATCGCATTCCACACCGTGACAACAAACCAGCCGAAGCTAACCAAGAAGCCGCCGATCGAAGCAGCTTTATCCCTCAGCAGCAGTAGATTCCTCCAGACCCAGCCACAGCTCTCTGAGCTGCAGGCTTGTCAAAAGGATCTGCCCTTCAAGAAATAAACATCAATCCATGCGATTCCAAACTGAATCATCCTTAAGTAGAACCTTCCTAATCAGTTGGATAGACAAGACTGATTTCAACTACAGATGTCCTTCAAACCAAGTCCATCTTCAGATTTTGGCTGACAAATAACAGCCCAACCAACCCGAGCTCTTTTAATCGGTTCATCTTTCTACTTCTAATAAAACTTAGTATTTCGATGATTAATTCTTTTGATGATAGCACCAGGTAAAATCAGCTGCCTACTCCAATAATTTTGGATGCTAAAGATAACTGATTGGATAAGTTGAGGTCTCCTAACGTAAGAAAGCTGTTGAGCTTTCCAACTTTGTGACCTCTGAGAGATCCTATCAATAAGTGGAGCATAATCACATATAGTTACCTCCTAGTGACCAAAGGAATACCAAGATAAAAGGAAAAAGGAGATCCCGTCTCACCCCCTTGACACCTGCAATATATTATCATTAAGGGAGACAGAAAATCAAAGAGTGGTGATATACTCCTTGATCCAACCAATCACCAAAGTCGGGAACCTAATACTTCCAAGACCATCAAGATGAATCCTCAATCTAAAGAATCAAAGACCATATTAAGGAACTATATTTTTGTTTTAATTATATTATTAAGTCGTTAATTTAATAACGAATTATATTATTAAGTTATTAATTTAATAATGATGTTTGATATATCATATTAAATTGGTCGTTCTATTTTAATGCTATCCTTAGTTGCAATGGACTTAAGTTTAAGTAGATATTTTTTAGAAGTCCTTTTATACTGGCTTAATCTTAAGTAGACTATATATTTTGTCAAGTCCTTTTTTAATGGCTTAATCTTAAGTAGAGACAACCTTAATTTTTACGTTTAATGTTTAAATTATTATTAATTATTATTTTTGTCCTGTTTTAAAGTTTTTTTCTTCAAAATCATATCTAATATTTAATTTAGGTTTAATTTGACACACCGTCGCTAAAAAAATTAACATAATTATTGATATGACATTTTTATTTCATTCAATGATGATGTGATATTATCTTACGTCAAAATCACTGTTAATAACAGTTTTTAACGGCGAAGTATAAAAATAAAACCTAAACTAATAGGTATAATTCTCAAAAAATAAAGTTTAGGTATCCAAAGGGAATAAAAATAATAGTTTAGTACTAAATGTGTAATTTACCCTACTTTCAACTAGATATTTTGTATCGTCCTAGTCGGGTAGGTACGGGCAAGCTTACGACAACCTTTGCTTGGAGGAAAATCTTGCACGTATCTGTAATCAAGGATTATGCTTTTACAGCATAGTTCATAGAGATGGTTGATTTTCACCTGAACTCAATTGAGTTTAAAAAGTGTCGAAACCAGTGAGTTGGATGAGTTGATATCCATATCAACGAGTTCAGACTGAGTGGACGTTGATCGGAACAGCTCAGCTGTACATATAGGGAAAAAAACAGCAAAGGAAAACTAAGATTTCTCTTTATTTTATTCCTGCACATAGGAAGAAGACAGAGCACAGGCGATAGCCCCATGCTACTACAAAACAAGGCTCTCCTCTTTTACATATTTATTCCATTACATGCACAAACTGCAGCAGTTTAGAAGAAACGAGTCAAGTCCAGGATCGAGTTCATGGGTTTTCCCCTACTCTCTTCATCTCCACGTTGTTGACTCTGTCTAGACACAAAGTACGACTCTTTCGGGCCGCTGAATATCTCGTCGACAAACTTCGAAGGCAACCCGAACGCGAGCTCCTTCGCCTCACTATCCATTTGCTTCATCATGTTGTCTTTCCCGGCTATGAAGTTCCTCGTGTTGTTCTGGTGGTAGAGTCCGAAGGCTATGAATCTCAGGTGCTGGTTTTGGGATGCATAATATGTGACTGGATGGCCTGCCGGAACTACAAATACATCACCGGCCGATAATCTGGTTTTCACTTGCTTGTATTCTCCACTTTTCCTTTCCTCTTCCTCTTCCTCTTCCTCTTCCTTTCGAGAGCTTTGGCTAGAGAGATGAGGGCAAACCATTTCGACGTACCCGTTTCCATTGGTGACGAGGACCACGAATGTCGACATTGAATTGTAGTGCGGCACAAAGATTGATCCCTGCAGAAAGAATAAAAAAGGGGTTATAGATTTTGATTAGCATGATTTTGTAATGGGATTTGGTTTTGAGTTTACTACTTTACTTTGCTTATTTCGATTCCGGCGACGGCGGCATCTATGTTCCGGAGTAGCTCGAATTCACGAGGGCAAGCCTCGAAGAATTTTCCGTTTTCGTTGGAGTATTTAGGATTTTGGGACAACAAGTTGAAGGCGCATTTCTCTTCTTTCTCCTTTGGCGTAGTGGCTCCTTTGCTCAATGATTTTATCTGCTCTTGGCTGACTCTACGGAACATTCCCTGCTGGCTTTGCTTCCCTTGGAACAGCCTATCGAGCTGCTCACTTCGTGTCTATTACAAAGAAACAAGATTCAATCAATGAACCAACAAATTATCATTGATATTAATAGTGAAAAAAAAACATACATTGAAAACAGCCTCGAGAATTTCACGGCTGAAGGGTTGGTAATATGACTGAGGTTGTTCTTGTCCTGCAGGGAAGAATTCCTCGAATTTTCCAGGGTTGTTAACAGGGCGGTGGAGCACTGCTATGATTAGCTTTTCGTTGTTGTCTTGGTTCACCAAGTACACAGTGCTTCCTGTTGGAATTTTGACTATAACTCCAGGGACTAAATTGAAGGATTCTTTCTTCTTCTGTGTCAAGAACGTTAGCGTTCCCTTTCCTGCAAAAACGAAATTACCTTGTTTTAGTGTCTATATATATAGTGATAAAAAGGATGAAAATTTTAAGATGTTACCTCTTGTTACGAAGTAAATTTTGTCAGCATCACAGTGGTGTGGGAGGACGAAAGTGTTGGGATTTGCTTCTATGAGTGCAACTCGATACTCGTCGATGCCCTTGAGTAACTGATGCTTCTGGGAAAACCTCTGGAGGACCCAGAAATTGCCATTGTCTTCCTCGTATCGAGCTTGGGCATATTTTCTGCGGGGGAAATAGTAAGGGTTATGGCTTTGACGCCCTTCTTCCCATTCCTCTTCTTCTTCTTCGTCTTCCCTCCTGTTTCCTCTTTCTCTCCTTGGTTGTTCTTCGAACTTCTCCCGGCATTGTCTCACGCATTGCTGCTTCCTTTCCGGCCTTTGTTCTTCCTGTTGACAATGCTGTTGACATTGCTGGAGTCCCTGGAATTCTCTCTGGCATTGTTGTTGGCATTGCGGCTGCTGCCTTTGTCCTTCCTGTTGGCACCGTTCCCGGCATTCCTCGAACCTCCTCTGGGGATCTTCGGGGTTCGGATCACCGTGGCTCCACCGTTCGTCCTCCTCTTCTTGCTCCCTCTGTTCCTGTCTAAACTGCCTTTCACATTGTTCTTCGCATCGGTCTTGCTCCCTTTCTCCACGAGTCTCCCCTTGGCATCGCCTCTGGCAGTCCTGGTACCTCTTCCGAGGATCCTCCTTGCCTCTTCTACCGGAACGATCAGCAGCTGAACAAAGCAAGCCAAAAGAAAGCACAAGAGAGAAGAGCAAAACTAAAAGAAAAGACTTACTCGTCACCATGACTATTACTATAATATTTTGAGCTCAGTGTGGGTTGATAACGGAGCAAAGACTGGTAATTTATTTATAGAGTGAAATGTTAGCTTTTGCATGCGGATCTTCATCAACGTGTTGAACACATTGACATGCATGGTGACGAGTGTGCAAATTAAGGTGACGAGGAGCTACGCCCTTCACGTGGTACGGGCAAGCTTACGACAAGCTTTGGTTGCAGGGAATCTTGGTTGTTTCTGTAACTGGAAGTGGCGAAGTGATGATGCTTTAGCAGCTGAGAGATTGTGGTCCCTGGTGCGGGTTGTCTTTTACGCGAACTCGGTTGAGTTTCAAGGTGTTGAAACTTTATATGAATCAAATACAAATTCTTAATGGGAAGTGGGTGTTTTGCGGTGAGTTAGAGATGAGTTGGTTGCGTTAATATCCAGATTTCACGAGTTGAGATTGAGGTGTAATATGGCAGAATGGACAGCTCAGGTGTACACATATTTCTGTGTATGGTAATGAGGTGTAGATAAAATCAAGGGTGTTCAGATAACCGTATCGTTAAGTTTAAACCATCGATTAATTGTTATAATGATTATTAAATTTTGTTAATAATAATTTAATTATTAAAAAATCATTAATCCGTTAGCGGTTAACCATTATTAACAAATCAATTATAAAGTAACCTATTACAATATTTTTCAAACATAACACAATTAAAAAAAAATTCATAAAATTTGCGATAATAGAAACATGTATATTTGTAAAATCTTATTTATTTGTCAATGTATTTTATTTTATAGAAATATATATATCACGAGGTATATACATTTTTTACAGTTTAAAATCTTACATGTATATTTATATTTTGAAATTTAAAATCATGTATTTTTCCATATTTGTTTGATTTAATGTACTCCTATATAAGATAAACATGATAACTATAAAATATGAGGAATCATTTTGATTTTATTTCTAATTCTATTATCTAAAAAATATAATTAATTATAATTTACTAACGATTAACCAATGGTTACATATTTATCAAAATTCATTAACCGTAATCGTAACTGTTAATCAATATTTTTAGCGATTCGTTTAACCGAAACCATTAAACTTTAATTGTTCAGTTAATAACCTATAAAATATAACGATTATATTTGTTAATGGTTACAAATAACGGTAACATATTAATTTAAATATACCTAGAGAAAATGAACCATATATAATCATTGTATTTTAATTTTGAGATATATAACAAGAATATAAAATATTGTATACATCTATATTTTTGTATCTTTATATTATTTAAAAAATAAAATTGAATTATGATAAATCTCATTTTACACACGATCTATATTAATATATTATTTTTTCTTTAAAAAATAAATTTTACAATTCAAACATAAAGTTTTAAAGATTTAGGTGAAATAATTGAGAATATAAGGAAGAGAAGTTTTGTTAAAATAATAATAATTTATTTTGTAAGCAACCCGTATTCTTTAGTGGGTTTGAGTTTGCCCATTCACTTTTTCCATTTGAGTTTTGGACCCAATTTATTAAAGTGGATTATTTATTATTATTTTGGCCCAAATTCTTTTCTATTATTATTAATATTGTTATTTGATTTTTATTTATTTATCATTTTTGAAGGTTTGAATCAGGTCGGGTAAGATTAGATTTTTTTTTATCCTAATTACTTCGATTTATAAATTGATGGACTTTATTTGATTTGATTTGTCTCGATTTTAAAAGTATTTCATATGTTCCAAACCTATCTTGAATTCCAATGTAAAAATATATCTTCGTTTTTAATATCTAAAAGTATAATAAATTCAATCTTAAAAGTAAATGATCCATAAATAAAATCCCAAGACTACAAGGAAGTTTGGGCAAAATCACTACAATAATGAAGTGAGAAATTTTCCTCTCATTAATGATGTTCTGAATTTATTTTCTCGAATCGCTTATGAAAAATATGGGCGTATATGGACACAAACGACGTAGAAAATAATGACAGAAGACGTCGGGTCGGATCTTCCATACATCTTTTATATGTACCGTTTATTTTACTCTATTTCATAGAATAATTATGGTGGAATAGTATATGAAGAATTATTTTTCCCCATAATGATATTTAAGTGATTTTATCGAAAAATTGATTAAATGAATCTTAAAAGTACAACATGAATAATATTCTAATAACTTACAAGTAGTTTCAACACAATACTTTATGTGATTTGATATAAAAATATCATGGGGAAAAAAAAGAGTGATAATATATTATGTCATATTAGATCATATAGTTTTATTTAAAAATAAATTTTTGCTCAAATTTATTTATCTCATCTCCCTCATAAAATTTGATTCAATCCGATCAAAACTCGTTTAACAAATGTTACTCAGGACTTAAATGAGTGTCGAGAAATAGTAGAATTTTAGGAGGAGATTATACACTTTTAAGGATGAGAACAGGTAAAAATTGGGTGAGATTTTTGGCCCACCTAAACCTAAGGATGGTCAAAATACCCAAATTCTATGGGTTCTAACTCGACCAGTCCCTATAAGGACAATTTTTCTTTTGAAATTTTAGAGTTCGAGATGGGACGGGTTATATACTTAGTAGGTTTGGGGCGGGATCATATTGGGTTTAAGGTGAAAAATTACCGACTCGATCTGGTATAAAATATATAATCTATTTAAGATTTAAATATTTTTATTTTTATAATGTTAAAATATATTATTTAATTATTAAAAATATAGTAAATTATATAATATATTATTTTTTGGGATAAATTTCATTTATTCATCCAACAGAAACTTCAAGCACAAATAAACATTACATCACTCAATTCCAACACCTATAGAAATAAACAAATCAAAAAATCAAAGAACAAAACAACCAACAACAACAAAGTTTGAAATTAAAAGCCCCAACTAGCAACTAAACTAGAATTTAAATTAGAGATCTTCCTATTTCCAATAAGCCTAGACAATATCATTCTTAATCTGAGAAAAAATAACTCTGCACTCTTATGATGCATATTATTCCTCTCCTGTCAAATATAGTAGTTGAACACACACCAAACTAACCGAGTGATAGTAGCATGTAAAGACTTTCTTTACAAACCTTTTGCAACCAATTAATCAAATCCATCCAATCATTTTGAGATCCATCATGCTTACAAGCTTGCAAAATCAACTGCTAAACTTGACAAGCATAATAACATTCAACAAAAAGGTGGTCGCACGTATTTAATTCATCACCACAAAATAAACACCGAGGGTCTATTTCACAACCTCGTCTTAGCATCATACTCTTAGTTGGTAGCCTATCCAATTCCACCAATTAAGAAATAAAAGAGTGACGTGGAATAATTTAAAATAATAATAAAATATATTATTTTAATAATTTAAATATAATAAATGATTATAAATATATTATTATATTATTTTAATTATTTAAAATATTGATATATTCGGGTCGGGTCAGGGTTATAGTCTAAAAATCGAGACGGTTTTGGGGCGGGAGAAAACCTAAAAATTAACATGGTGGGGTGGGGTCGGTTATTAGTAAAATATTTTTAGGTCGAGGTCAGCGCAGTCAAAAACCCGACCCTCCCCGCCCCGTGCCCATCCCTATCTAAACCCGACTCGAAAATAAAATTCATCCACCCATACTTGATCTGACCCGAGTTTAGGAAGATCTCATCCGACCCGACTCAATCTGACTTAAATTTATTTATATATAAAAATTTATTTTTATTAAATAAAATAATGATCTAATTAAAAATAATAATATAAGAATATGTATTATTACAATTATCTCTAAATATATAAAGATTATTATAATATTATATCAAGTAAGATATTTTCACCCTAAATCTGAACCAACCCGACCCTATTATTCAATAAAATCCAACTCGTCCCAACTCAAATTCAATATTTTTGAAAAGATAATTCAATCTACTCAGGTTGGGTGGAGTCGAATCCCATAGGGTGCATATATAATTGCCATCCCTCTACACGTTCCTTTTTAAGAGAAAAAATTGCAGGAAAGGAAGGTGTGTTCTACACCCCGATTTAAATAAGTGTTAAATGTGAAAATATTCGAAAACAAGTGTGGATATTAAAAAGAAAAAGATAAGTCCAAAGAAGAAGAGGGAATCTTAGACCGGATTTAGCAGGAAGCATTGTCTGCTAGCTGTAGGAAAAAGACCTATTCATTGGTATGGTCTGCATTAGAGAGACACATAACTTGCTCTGAGCCATTGCAGATCAATGTATGAACTTGCTTTTAAAGCTTGGATTTAATACAGCAAAAGATTAAAGCACAATAACAACAGTTTCAGAAGGGGAAAAAAAAGAGCATTAAAATCATGGCTTGCCAATGGAATTGTCAGATATATATATATATATAAGCTATCATGTTCTTTTCAACCATATTCTTCACCTTGCGTAGGCAGAGGAAAAGGAGAGTTTTCACTGTAATAATTAGAACAACAGTTTGGTTCTGTTCGATTATGTTAGTTCCTCATGCTGATGAAAAGTGCCATAGAATTGCAGATTCTTACTGTAATATACGTATGTATGTATCAAATGGTCCTAAACCATTGCAGTAGCCATTGGAATTGTACCAGACAAAGTGACTAATGACTGACAGGGTTTCTCCCTTTGATAGCTTTGAAGTAAACAGAATCTTTCTTTATCTGTATCCCCCACTCCTTTTGGTGCCTTGTTTGACCATGTTTGGAATGGAATTACATACCATTTGCTCATCTTCCCCTTTTGTTCATCTAAACTACTAATCTTATGCAGGAGGATTCTTCGAAAGTCGACGTTCGGTATGTCGAAAACCTATCGATTTCTTAAACCTATGCTTAATTGTGGAAACTCCAATGACGGTATAACACAAATTGACCTACAATATAGAAGTGATAGGAATATTCCCCACTTTTTCTGCCCCCACTCTTGTTTTTTACTTCCTCTACATCCCAGACAAGAAAGAACAAAGTAATGAT